CCCCATCACCCCCCTGCCGCTGGAGATGGCCATGCACAGCCTTTTCCTGGCCTTCCTCGTCGCAGAGATCATGGCTGCCTTCCTTGCTCTGAAGACCATGACCAAGCAGCTGGCGGCACAGTTCCACCTGCGGCAGTTCAAGGAGGGTGGCAGGGGATGGCTGGGGCAGGGGGGCACAGGGGTGCAGGCAGCTGAGGAGGGGTGATGTTGCAGGACCCCTCCATCTCACACAGTCAGTCCTGACACAGAGCATTAAACGGCACTCAGACCCCCCACTGCGCCTCCACACACTGTGTTTTTGAGCCGGGCAGCTTGGCGGCTTGTGGGGTTCCTGGAGCACCCCATGGGCATGGACCCAGCCAGCCCCTGCCCTGCACCCAGCTGACACCGCCCAGGGCAGGTGGGAGTGCAGGGTTCAGCACCTCCAAACTGCCCAGGCTGAGCCCAGGGCTGCGCTTGTCCTCGCTGAGCATCAGCCCTGGCAGGAGGCAGGAACAGGGGGCAGAGGAGCCACTGCACCCCCCAGCAAGCAAGTACCAGCCCAGGGCTGCCGCCTTAAGCTCAGCTCTTAAACCCTCCCTGAGCATAGCCAAAGTGGGGTGGGGGGGCAGCCCTGCTACTCCCTGGGGAAGCTCCCAAGGATCTGGGCAGCTCGTGTGAAGCCATCCCAGCTGGAAGCATGCGGAGTGCTGCGAGGTGCAAGACTGGCACCACAAAACCTTTGCAGCCACCCCCAGGGCTAGAGACAGAATAGAGCCACCTCCCGCTTTCTGAACAGCTTTATTTCATTGCATCCCTGTTTTTCACGGGAAATCAAGGCCCACGGCCATCTGGAACGTGAAGAAGCGCGAAGTGCTTTAAGCCTCTTGTGCTGAGCATTGGCCAGCCACTTCCCAGCAAGCTCTAGTTCCTGCAGCAGCTCCGCAGCATGGCTCTGCTCAGTCACCGGCAGGTCAGTGCTGGGAGCTGCACATGGAGCTGCTGGGAGCTGCTTTGTGCTCCAGGAGCCAAGAACTTCTGCTGATGCAAATGCTTCTCCAGGAAAGGCAGACCCTAACCCCAGCAGCGCACACTCGGGCCAAGAGAACCAGACCACCTCCACCTGGGCTGCAGCCATGCCCCCATCGCATCTACCTGGAGGTTGCTCCGGAGTGAAGGGTGCTTGTGGCAGAGCATTGCCGATGTCCCTAAGCTGCAGCCTCGGCCTTACCTTTAGGGGGTTTTGCCTGCAAAATGAACAGGGACATCTTACTATACTAGAGACAAGGGGACAGCCCAGGCAGGCGGTCCTGTGCTGCTCTGCTCAGTGCCATGCAACCAGATTCATTGTTTGAGACCCCCACTCGCGATCTGAGATCAGGCATCAGGAACAACTTTTTCTCCCCCCAGTAGGATGGTGCAGCCCTGAGGCAGTTCCTTGGGAGCTGGGGGATCTCTGTCCTCAGAGATTTCTAAGACTTGGCCAGACAAAGTCAAAGATGACCCAAGCTAGGGCTGGCAGCTCTCCTGCTCTGCGGGGGCCTCCCAGCCCACACCCTGCGACTCCCTGATTCACCAGGGCTGGGCAGTGCCAACACGGGAATCACACACAGCAAGAAAACCTGTCACTGAACCACAGCGTCAGCACCGACACAGCGCCACGGCGCACTCTGAAGAGCTGCCCTGTCTCCACACGGAGTTCAGCCAAATTCAGTTTGGAAGAGGGTGAACAAATGTGGAGCTGGGTCAGGTTTCTACGGTAAGGTCCCCTTGGGGACTCCTTGGTGTCTTAACAGTAGCTGAGGTCATGGTACAGCTTTCCCTGCAGTCCGGGCACCAGCTGGGTCCCTCTCTTCCACTCCGGCCAGTGCCTGTTGTCACTAAACTTGGAAGAGTTTAACCTCTGTCAGGTTCAGTTCATACCAGCCACCAAGCCCCAGAATCGAAGACTAAGAACTGCTCCACCGGGGTTTTCCCACATTGTGTGAATTGGGTTTTAACCAAGGGGCAGAAAAATAATTAAATCCGCTTGCAAAACTTCATTCCAACCTCACCTCTCCAAAGTGGCCCCATCCTTACCTCCTCAAACTTCTCCTTCCAATAGAAGTCAGCCTTCGCATCCAGGTAGAGCAGAACCAGGTCACAGACCACCGTGGCCTGGAGACAGACAAATGCAGCAGGGCAGCACCTGGCCAGTGTTGGGGGCAGCAAGCCTGACCTGCTGCCAACCCAGGCCACCCAAGCAGCCCCACCAGGTCCTCTTTGACCCAACCTGCTCCCATTAGCCACACAGGAGGTTAGATGTGATCATCTGGGCTGCAATGCACGGACACAGGGTGAGGGCTAGTCCAGCACAGAGCCGCCGTCACAGCCATGTAAGGGACTGGGATGAGCATGTCCGGGAGGAAAGAGGGGGCAGGTCGGGGAGCCCAGGCTCCTCATTACTCTGCTGAAAGGGGAGAGCCACAGAGGTGCTCTACAAGGGGCTGCCTCGTCTCCATGACCGCAACGCCATGTCTGCACTGGAGCTGGACACTGGCTCCCTTTAGAGTCAGGGGAGAAACACAGAGAGGACGTGCTCTCTCCTGCTGGCTGAGACAGCTGGAGCAGACCAGCCAGCAATGCCCCTCCGATGCGCCTTCCCAGGGTCAACACAAACACCCGGCCTCCATGAGATGTGCCCCGACAGTGCTGAGGATCCTTGATCCAGCAATGTCATTACTGCTAAGGATCACAAACAGGAAAATGGGAGCTCACACCCTGCCAGACAATCCCTCCTCTCAGGCTGGCAGGCACCCAGGAAGCCTTGCACCCAGGCAGGCAGGGGAAATTACAGATGAGTGGCAAATCCCAACCCACGGATCAGAAAAGAGTGTATCTGGAGTACTCACGGCACCAAAGAATGCAATGCCGGTGCCGAAGCTCACGGCAGCAGGGATTATGCTTAACTTCCCAGCCTGGTAAGAAACAGTGGGTGGAGGGGGAAGACAGCGGGTGGAGAGCGGTGAGAGGGCTGTGGGACAAGCCCCACTGAGCAGCATGCTTAAAGCCAGGGAGGTGCTGGAGGAAACCGGGGTCATTTCTCCATGCCCAGCTGTGGGAACCTGACTACTATTGCCTTGACTCAAAACCCCTTTGGCTGTCAAAGAAGGGATTGAGGCAGCTTGTGACTCGGTGGCAGCAGAGGTTACTGTGACTCACCTACTCCTGCAGGCACAGTGGAAGCCTCCCTCTTGCTGCAGGACCCCAGCAGCTGCCACCCACTGAACTACATCCTAGCAAACCCGGCCCTGATGTGATGTGTCCCTCTGCTCAAATGAGTCTGGTATCTCTGAGGAAAGATTTTCGGGTTCCTGTCTCTCTCCCGGCTATTCTCTCCTGCTCCACACCTCCTGGACCTTGTCTCACTACCCAGAAGTGGTGCACCCTGTCCTGCACTGCGTGCTTCACCCTCTTCAGGTGAAAAGGCCACTGCTAAGCATGACAGACCAGCTGTGGACATCTCTCAGGGCGGCAAGTCCTCTCAGCACAGGCTCCATCTTGCACAGTTGAGTATTGAGTTTGTCAGTGATGCTGCAGAGTAGCATCAGCCATGATCATGCCCATGCCTTTTCTCCCCGAGGGTATAATTAATCAAGAAGGGATTAATTGTCCAGGTTTAGAAAAGTTCAGGTTGATCTCTGCCAGGGTGCTCCCACCATGGGACCCTCAGAGATGCCGACAGCCCCTCTGCCCAGAAAAGCTCACCTTGCTTACAGGGCCCAGCACTTCACAACACCCATGTCAAATTCTCAACAAGGGAAGCCTCCCTGCTCGAGGCATTACCAAGGTGTTTCTCTTCAAATGGGAGAGACCATTTTTTCCTGCTTTGCTTGGAAAACTCTGGAAAGAGGTGAAGAGCTCACCACGGCGGGGAGAAGCAAGGCCAGCAGCCGGAAGCCACGGGGCTGGCTGCAGGAAAGCGCAGCATGGAGCGGTGCGACGCGTCAGCCCTGGTGACAAGGTGGCCAGGACTGCGCATGTGGGGTCTGCAGAGGAGACGGTACCTGGCCATGCACGGAGATGTCGAAGCGGATGCCATAGAGCTTCAGCAGGTTCCGGTAGAGCTGTCGCTGGGAGTCCCAGTAGTAGGAGGCAGTTCTGCAGGAGACATTGGACGCGGCTCAGAAAGCCATGGCAGCTCTCTGCGCCCACAGTGAGGGAAGAGGGATGCCAGTGCCGTATGATTGCTGGGGCTACTGTGCACCTGTGCACATCCTGTGTCCTCCAGTGGGCTGGGACGTGGGCGAAGCACATGCTGCCAGGACTCACTAGCTCGGCATCAGCAGCGGGGCATCAGCGTCCGCCCAGCACCCAGCCCGGGGTCACTAAGAGCACGCAGCTCCAGTTCAGGGTCAGCATGGATGTGGACAGCCACATGTCCCTGCCCTCAGGCAGGTAATGCCTTGCACAGCTCCAAACAGAGCAGAGCTATAAGCTGCAGGAACTACCATGGCACTCTGGTACTGACAGACCCTGCGCTGAGTTACCACATCCTGCTGCTCCTTTCAGAGCATCTATCAGGAAAACTGAGATCTCAAATAACTGCCGTGTGCTCAACCCACAGGCCCGTGTGGCCACTGTCCCAGCATCCTCACCTAAAATTGTACCTCCTGTCCTGCAGGCTGAAGGAGTACTGTGGCTGGCACTGGGCAGCGGGGTGATCCAAGTCGCAGTCCCAGTCGATGCGAACTCCGATGCTCCCCCCCTGCAAAACAGATTTTATTCCAGGAGGAGCACGGAATCAGAGATTTGCAGAGTTCTTTACTGTTCAGATGTTCACAGATCACACACTCCCTTAGCATTTCAGGGGTCAGTCCTGTGCCCCACCCCTTGCCCACATCCTTGGGGAATTTGGAGTCATCTTCCATACTTTAAAAAAAAAAAAACAAAAACAAGTACCATGAGTGCGAGGTCTCCAAAGGTCTCTCCAGCTGCCTCCACCATGTCACGGACACGGAATACAGGGCAGGAGGGGTTGAAGAACGGATCGTATGTGCAGCTCTTGAAATAGGTGGGGTCATTGGTTTGCAAAGTATTGCACCTGAGTCAGGGGAGAGAGAGGGGGAGCTGTCACGGGTGGAGTGGGGTGTGGGAAGACAGGGAGCCCTCCTGCAGGACTGAAAAGGAGACCCTCCCACTGGAGCAGGACTGATGCTCCTGCTTTGGGGGGAGCTAGTCATTGCCTCTCCTAAAGCCTCAGTTGGAAAGAGGGTGGAGGGAAACCAGCCTAGAGGAATCACACATGGAGTTATCATCCTTTATAGCACCTGCCATGGTCCTTCCCCTCCCAGCTCCTCTCCTCCACCTCTGCCTTTGTGCTTCTCCTTTCTTCCCTGGCACCTAGCTCCCACTGCTGTGAGATGTAATGACCCAGCTTGAGCTGGCACTCTAGGGGTGATAGCAAGGGCAGTTCAGCTGCCCCAAGCCACGTCTCCTGCCAGAGTAAGGCAGCACAGTCAGCATGCCTGGGGTTGGGAGGCCAGTGCAGCCTGGGCCACTGTGAAACCATTTTGCAGGGACTAAAATGCAAAAATATTTGGGGTAAAATAAGACCTTGGGAATGACTGGCCTTGTCCGGCTCTGTCTGCAGTGCTCTAGACAGGCAGACACCACTTCCTCTCTGAGGGCTCCCCATCCCTGAAACGACCAGTGTTCTCCTTAACACAACATCCTGAACTGTAACTGCCCGAGACACCACCCACCCTGGACAGCACATGGCTTCTTGGATGCCTTGGCTGCTCAGCCCCTAGGCAGACAAGTTCAGCGCAGAGGCTGGACTAGGCTGCACACACAGGCTGGCTGGAGGAGCATCATACTTACTTGGAGAAGTTAAATTTGGTGAAGTGGACAGTATTTTTTATAAAAAGAGTGAAATTCTCCGCCTCAGCCAGAAGAGGTTTCCTGGAAAACAACCACCAACGAACTCAAATTTTGCACAGTGGCCAAGGCATGTCCCCACTCCCCTCGCTCTGCAGTCTCTTCCACAATCCTGGGACTTTGGCTACAATGGACAGTCGCAAGAAATACTCTTGCATGAAGTTCTCTGGACTTAACTGACCAGTAGATCAATGTCAAAGATCTCCCTGAGCCTGGCTGCCCCCCAGGCAAGTATGATCAGGCCCCTGGTTACACAGAGCACAGAGGGAAGGAACCAAAGCTCTCAACGCCTGCTGTCCCCTCACCCTGTGCCTTACCCGGGCAGGGTGTTGTTCTCCACAGGACACCAGCCATAGATCTCACAGGTGGAATGGGTGGTATTGAACATCACACATTTCCCAGTTTTTATCCCTAGAAATGAGACAATGTATATCATTTACTATTCCATTTCAAAACGTCTTCTCTGCCGCTCCCCTCCTGGGATAGCGCCCTGGCCACAGGCTTGTTCTGGCCTTCTCAAAACCTGAACCACAAAGACAACCCTGGCATCATCTTCAGCGTTGGGTGGGGAAAACAACTTCCCTCTGAAACCCTCCCTCAAGGCCGAACGACAGGAGCTGTTTTACAAAGACAAGAAGCTGCTTGCCGCTGTCAGCGTCCGTCTGTCCAGCGCTGCCCGTCCTGCCCCATGGCTGCTGAAGCCACCCACTCCCCGGGTGGGAACACAATGACCTGGGGCAATCCCGCCCACAAAGCTTTGGCAACCGACCTCCTAGAGCTGAAATATCCTTTTCCAGCTGAACTCACATGGGCTGCTAATATTAATCAGCATGAAATAAAAGCCAGGTTTTATTACAAAAGGAAAACCTGCCAATTACATGGCACAGTGGTTTCAATTCCAGCAGCCAACATCAGAAACAAAGCACCCCTGTATTTGCTGTGACAGTGCCTCGTGCCCGCAGCACCTGCTTGTCTGGCCGACAGGTCACTGTAAGGTTTTGCCAAGAATAAATGGCTTGAGAGCACTTCCATGCACACTTAAAAAAAGCACCGAACTCAGGCAATCAGGCACCTTTGTGCCTATGTTTGCTACCAAACATGAGGAATTAAATGATTTTATGTTTTTTAGCAAAGCACCCAGTACCATTGCCACGAACCACTGGGTTTCCCATGGGACAGTCTGCATCTTCTGTGCACATTGCATCGAGAACAGAGGGGCTCTGAGAGAGACAGAGAGAAGCGCTGTTACTGCGCTGCACAGCTGCCTGAGGCCACACGGTCACTCACCCATGTTTCTGTGCTGCCGCTCCTGTTTCTCCAAGCATGTCCCAAATGCTTACAGAAGACATCCACCATGTCCAGAACCTGTGCAGCCTCCAACCAGCAAGGAGAGAGGCATCTCCGAGGGACAATCCTTCCCGCCTGTCTCCACACTCTCTGGGGCGCTTGCCTTGTCTGCCTCGGAGGCAGAGGAAGCCTCAGGAGCTAGCTCAGTTAGGACTGGGAACAAGCACAGTTGGGTTCAAGAGGGCCTTAATGGCAGAGCCCATTAAGCACCTTGTAAAGCACCACCACAATTCCCCTGGGGAAGAGCTGAAGAGACCCTAAATACAGCATAACAAGCTTTACAAGAGACACAGAAAGCTTCACCCTCACTCTGGACCCACCAGATTGCCAGGAGCAGCAAAAAGCTCCTATTCAAACACAGAGAGATGATAGGAGGTGGGGGGAATACAAGTAACACCCTCCCCCAGGCCACAGCAGGAGTCACCAGCCTGTCAGAAACCCACCTCCCCAAGCCCAGCGGGGCACAGAGGCCCAAAGGCCTGTGGGGAAACCCCAGTTATGGAGTCAGAAGAAGGGGGGTCTGTCCAGGCCCTGCCAGGGCTGCCCCAGGACAGCCTCAGCCCCTTGTTCCAGGTGTGAAACCCACCATAATGAGCCAAGAGGAGCAGCTCTCTGAAGCAACTTTGGGCTGGGGGGGGGGAGGTCGGGGGGAAAGCTGGTCACTGCCTAGGGGTATGGGAATCATTATGGGATGCAGGAGAAGAGCATTTTGGAATTTAGCTGATGGACATTTAGCTGATGGGATGTTTAGGGGAGGAAGAAAAGGCATGGAAAAGGAGGGATCTAGGTGATCAAAGAACAAACAAACATTGGAAAATAGAGGGATAAAAGGATGCAAAGGACTGGTTGCATGTACAGAGCTGGCTGGTCAGTATGGTGGTCCGTCCATGCCCTGCACCCCATCAGCACAGTCTGTCTCGTCTTTGGACTAAACTTGATTTCCAACTATTTTCCTGGGCGATGGGCTCTATTCTGTATGCACGTTGTGTCTATGGGGGTCTGAGTGCCAGCAGCTGGAGAGGAACCATAGGATGTCACAGGGGCCCATGTGCCTGGGTGCCAGCTGCTGTGAGTACAGGTGTGCACATGAATGTGTGATTCACAGCAAACATTGGGCCGGATGAGCCAGGGAGGAGGTGGCCTGGGAGCAAGGTGGGGTATCTAAGGGCGAGCCCACATGACTACCAGAGGGACAAGGGAGTCCTGCCCAACTGCTTGAGAAGGATGGCTACTAGATTCATGCCCCTCACCTCCACTGATGGCCCCTTCATAGCATGCAGCACCCACCTGCAATGCTGTAATAAGCACTAACGAGAGCACTTTGTCATCCCAGATCCAAATCAGATGCCAAGAATTCAGCCTCCAGAAGGACCCAGACAACAGATATTTGCAGATGAGTGTATCAGTCCCTTCCCAAGTCCAGGTAATAAGACACATGACAAGTGCCACTTGGCAGACAGACACTTCTGGGTGTTCAGGGCATGCAAGCTGCAAAGCTTGGAAGAAATTCAGGTACTGAAGTCTGTGATGGTGTTACTGAAAACCTAAAACCTGGCCAAGAAGGTTTCAACCTCCTCCACCACCTTTTAACGGAAATGAGCCTCGAACAATCTGTTGGTGCTGGCATTCTCCACGGGCATGATCCAAACCAGGTTACACTGCCACAAGTGCATTGTGAGAGAAGCAAAGAGATCTGGACGCAGTTAAAAGCCCTCATGGGGCCCTGGATCTGTCCTCCTAAAGCTCTCTAAACCACTCCTGCATCTTGCTTGTGTAAGGATCTAAAAGCCTGGGAAAATTAGGAGTAACAAATTTTTCGAGGAACCTACCCAAGAACTGCAGGTTTGGGATGGGACAGGAATATGAACACACCAGCATTTAGAATAGGTTTCTTGACAAGCAGGTGAATTACTACATGTTTTTAGAAGACATCCCCCAAGGTGCTCACAGCAGAGCTCAGATGCTGCTCAGAGTTCGTAGCATTTGTGTTCCTGGGACAAGGGTGATTTCAGACAGAGGCAGCAAAGAGGTGCTTGTGCTGACAGCAGAGATCTGTGCACAAGCATTAGGAACCTCAGGGCTGAAAGGTTTATATTTACTTTCTGTAGTCACAAATATGTAGGTAGAGAATGACTTTATTCTTAATCTTATTAGAAACAATTGCTGATTCCCAGCCCTCGACAGCTATACAGCCACGTACCAAGGCCCAGGAAACAAAGTAAACCTTCTCGGAGAGCTAACCACCAGTAGCATCACATGTGAGCAAAGAAGGATGAGGCTTCTTCCAAAATCTAACACCTCCCTCATCACCTTAGGACATGGTCCTGTACTGCTTGGGGCTGGGACCAGTGCCGCTCACGTGCACATCCATCAGCAGCATCTGGACCTGAACGAGCTGAGCACAGCTGGATGTGCTAAAGACCATAATTTAAGTGAACTGGTCCCTTAGCCCCAGAGCTTGTATCTGGACAGAGTGGATGCACTGCCTGACTAATGCCTTCTGGCTGTAAGTCTATTTTGATCATCTTCATTAACCTTCAGAGCGCCTTGCAGCTAGAGGCAGAGGGTTTCCAACCACTCAAAGTATGTGAGATCAACACTGAAATGTCTCCCTAAGAGATAAGTCACAGCTCAGCCACAGATCTGAGCTCAACACAGACATCAGCTGCTAAAACCACCCATCCTGTGTTTGGGTGCTGCTGCTGGCCCCAGCCAGGCTTTTCCCTGGTCTGCCAGCACAGAATACTTCGGTAATCAAGAATATTCTGAACTTCCTGCAAAGTCAAAAGCTGTCACTGCTAAATCTTCAAAGCTTTCCAGACATGAATGTCAGCTACAGCCCCAAAGCCAGGAACTGAGTAACTACCGGAGAGTAGCACAGAGCGAAGGCTGTGACAGGCACCCAGACGCTCCACAGCACTGTAATGGGATGAAATGCTCAGCTCTCTCTGTATCCTTGGCTTGCACACTGCAAAAATAAGCATCCAGAGATTCCCGTGACTGCCTGCGAGAGAGAGCCCTGAAATGCTCTACTGCACATGTCTTCCCCTGGGGATATTCCTGCAGCTGTCAGTACTTCAGGAGTTCTCAATATTTTGAAGAGGGATCATTAGTACTATTTTCCCTGACTCAAAACGAGGGTTGCTCCTCCTCTTCTGTGGGGCTGAGTTTGGAGAGCAGCCCAGCAGCCTGCAGCCCAGGGTTAGCTGGGAGGCAGGACCAGGCTGGGCACAGCACAGCAGGCCGCAGCAAAAGCCAAAGGGACCATTAGGACAAACAGCGCTTGGCTCAGGCACAAGGTACCAGTAGTGGCTTAGCTTAAAAGACATTTGCTCCTGCCTGCCGAGCAGAGTCCAGCTTGGAAGAGTTCATTTTAGGAGCTGGCCTGCATCCAGCCTTAAAGGGAAGATTTCTCCCAGACAACATATAGCACTAAGTGTTGGCTGACTGGGAAACCACCTAGACCTTGTGCTCCATTCCTCCTAAAAATAGGACACTAAGATGGAGAGGATACTAGTCCTGCAGCAAAGAGTTATAAAGGAAACATGACACAGGTATCCATGGAGCGTGTGTAAAAGCATCAGGAAAAATGGCAGAACAGAGGTAAGAGAATGGAGCAGCAAGTCAAGAAACCAAGAATATGTGCGAGACTCAAGAAGGAACAGAGGTAACAGAGATATTAGCTGGGGATGGCAGTGCTGATGCCAGCCGCAGTGCAGAAATGCAAGAGCAATGGGGCAACACAGCTCAGCCTCCCCGAAGCAGCCCCTGTCCAAAGGCAGCAGAAAGCCTGTAAAGATCATACAGTGTTACCACCCCTCAAGAAGCCCAGAAAGCTGGCGAGACCCCAACAGACAGTGTCGCTTATCCTTCTGGTCACCACAAGTGATTCTGGCCAGACTACTTGGATACACGTCTTGGTTCATGCAGGTATGACAGAGCAAGTGCAAATGAGCGAGTAAGATCTACGGAGCATTAAGAATGAGGGGAATCAGTTTCTATGGAGCAATGAGAATGAGGGGAATCAGTTTTGTTTGGAAAAAAAATCAATTTTTCCTTTCTGTTTGGTCTTGCACTGGGTTTTTCCGAGTCCCTGCAGAGCCACAGAGCAGCAGCACTGACTGGCTTTACAAATCTAACCCCACCACAGCGCTGGGCTGAGGAACAGTGCAGCTCACTCACCTCGGGACAGGTGCCCTGGGCTTGCTTTGGTGTGGCGATGAAATTGGTCACCAGAAAAAGCACATTTTCTCCCTAGGAAGCAAGAAGGCACCTTCAGCAGGGGATTTACACCGCCACATTCCTCAGCAGCAGAACAAACAACACATTTTCTTTTCATGGCTTTGTAATTCACGATGTTAACCTCGCCTTTCCTTTCCCAAAGGATTTTACCACAGCTTTTGCCAACCACCTCCCTCCCCCGGGGCGGCTGAAGCGCCGACAGCGCGGGGGCCCGGCCGTACCTGAGGGGGCTGGGCGTAGTCCGCCGCGTCCCACAGCCGCCGGCCCGCGCCCCCCACCTCGGCGACCGCCGCCCCCTTCCGCTT